AATAGTTGGATTTGTAAAAAGATAAAAGAAAGAGAAGACATTACCGAAAAGGAAATAAAAGATCTCACGATTCTGAACAATGAAATCAGAAAAGGAATAAAAGAAAATCTGGAAAATTATAAAAATGATATGGTCACTAAAATCCTTCTAAACAATAACTCCACAAGAAAAATTCAAAAAGAATTATCCAAAGGTATGCAATGGGTGGTCACTCTTGAAAACATGAAGAAAGGAGGTATAACTGATAGGAAACATAAGAAGGATAGCAACGGAATACTTTCTAACTTTATAAATGTAATCAGAAGAGAATGGAAATAAATAGAGAGGCAGATGAAGTTAAAACTCAAGAAGAAATCCCACCAATAATGGAACAGGGAGTTGCTGTTATTGTAAAAAACTTGAAACATGAAAAAAGTCCTGGGCCGGATGATATTACGAACAAAATTTTAAAAACAGGAGAAGTTCTAATTAGGGAAGTTACAGAACTATTTAACTTAATTGTTGAAAAGGAAAAAATTCCAGAACACTGGAAGACAGCAAAAATAATTCTACTCCACAAAAGAGACAATAAACAGGATATGTAAAACTATCGACCTATTTCCCTTTGTTCTACCATGGCAAAGATTTTTACCAATGTCATTAAACAACGGCTCACCAAAAGAATCATGGAATGTATAGAGGAAGAACAAGCAGGTTTTAGAAAAGGTTTTTCAACTGTGGACCACATTCATACAGTAAACCAGATATAACTTCTCTGTGTATTTCTGTTTTCTCGATTTTAAGAAAGCCTTCGATATTGTCCTACATACGGGTGTTCTTGAAGCTTTAAGAATAACAGGAATCGAATAGAAATACGTGAGAATTATCACAGAGCTATACAAAGATATGTCAGCATATATAATGACAGAAAAGGGGAGTCAAATCTTTAGTGTCGAGAAGGGTGTTAGGCAGGGGAATCCGTTATCTCCCTTGTTGTTTATTCTGGTGTTAGAGATGAGGTTTTGGTCTCTTGGATGGGAAAATACAGGCATAAAGGTGAATGGTCGATTTTTAAGCAACTTACGTTTTGTAGATGACATTGTACTTTTTGCCAACAATTCCCGACAAATAGGAGAAATGCTAAAACACCTTCTAGGAGTCTGTGAAGAAATTGGTCTATAGCCAAATCACAATAAGACAAAACTAATGACCAATAGTTCAAAGGAAGAAATAAAAATGAACAACTTCACTCTGGAATACGTAGAGAAATATGTTTACTTGGGACAGTTAGTTTCCTTTTCAGACAGAGTTACAAAAGAAGTCCAGACAAGAACAGCATTTGGTTGGAACAAATTCTGGTCTCTAAAGTACATAACAAAAGGAAACATAAGTATCGACCTAAAAAGGCTAGTTTTCGATAGATGTATTATGCCAGTGGTGACCTAAGGCTCCCAAACATGGTCATTGACAAAAGCCCAAGAGAGGAAGATCAAGAGGCAAAATAGCATCGAGAGAAGCATTATGAAAGTAAAGAAGATCAATAAAATCAGATGCAAGAAGATAAAGGAAGAAACACTCTCGCAAATAAGAAAAAGAAAATGGAAATGGGCTGGATATCTCCTGCGATGCAATAACAATAGATGGTCAAAAATAGTCACCAAATGGACTCCATATGACCGGAAAAGGGTGAGAGGCCAACAAATAAAGAGATTGAGAGATCCATTTAGGCTTTTGGCAGGACCTCTTTGTTGGAGAGCAGCTAGGGACAGAGATGTGAGGAAAGAAAAATGGTTAAATGTCACAAAACCTGCATCCCTGTAGGGCTAGTCACGCAGGGAAGTGTTAAAGACTATTACTCCTAAGGGAAGGCCTATGCAAGAATAGCAAAAAGTTTTTTTATAAATTATAATAATGTAAAAAATGTTTTTTTTTTTTTGTTTTTTCTTTCTTTTGTAATTGTATGTTTTATAGAAATTATAATATTTATGCATAAATAAAGGCTTTTTTCATTTTCATTTCATTTCAGTTAGATTCGAAAGGCAGAACACTTTTAATGTGAAATGTATAATTTAATAAAATTTGTCGATATCTGTTATATGATTGTGTAGATATATTCTTTGACAACTTCTAAATTGAAAAAACAGAGAAATTAGAATGTGAATTTTAAAGTTTAAAATAATATAATCTGTTTTACTATTCTGTATATTAACAGAATTTGTTTTATAATAGCTAAATTGGGCAGAAAGTAATCTTACAATGTGAATTTCAAAGCGTAATTTAATCAAATTTGTCAATACCTATTATGATGTGGTATATACATACAACCTATACACTGTGAACCTTCTGGTATCCCCTAATGATCTAAACTCACATTGTATATCTGTTGCTAATACCTCTTCCGGCTTTTCTCCAGAGATATTTAATGAGAATAACTTTTATTTTTTCCGACATTTCCTCCATAGATCTTTTATTAACTGCTGTAATGAAATCCCACACCAATTCCATAGGACCAGATGGCATCCTTGTCAAATTAATAAAATTATGTCTCCCTGAAATCCTCTCAATTATCCTTTTTTTTATCTACAATTTTTTCCTTCTGAATTCAGTATTCCCTGCCTCTTGGAAAAAATCCAATGATCTCTTAAAAGCTCAATAAAGGCAAATCTCCCATAGCTTTAAACAAACTCGCCTTAGTTGAACTTCATTAACAAATATTTCACTTCTGTACCATATTATTAATTCATATGCTTATTCACTACTAATATATTTAATTAATAAAATATAATTCACTTTTAGAAAAATTACCTCTTATTTTTAATACTTAGAATAGGATACAAGGAACTGAGAACAGTTATTGATCGTTAACATTTAAACATGGTTACAAGGTGAATTTGTAGTAAAAAGAGGGTGGATGTTTACTACTGTTTTTGTATAATTTTCGCCGGACAAACATAAACTTATTCTTTTCGCAGAAATGAACTCGGCAGCTAACACTTTCTTTGATCTTTAAACTATAAATAAAATAAATATTTATATCAGGCTACAGAATTATAGGATGATATAAGAACGTGACATTATTTATCTACTATAAATTAAAATGAACTTATTATATCCATATATTTGTTCTAAAAATGTAATGTTTACAAATACGTTCTTAGTCAAGTCTCATTTAAATTGTGTTCTTTGTAAATTTGTTTTAATATTTGTCCCTGATCCGTGGTGACGCCCTAGCCTCGGCGCCCCAGGATGACCGCCCCACCCACTGATACTTGGGTTATCAGTATATTTTAGGTACTCAAAGTGTTTAGAACGTTTTTCATATCTCTTCAAACACGGCAAATTTGTTGCCCTCAAAACAGTTTCTGTAGGAAATTTTATTACACTATTTTTTCCAAAAGCTGAAGATTGCAGAAAACAACAGCTGAAGGGCATACAATTCTTGTGGAAACTTATAGTAATCATGCTCTGTCAGAAAGATAATGCAGAAAATTGTTTCAATGCATAAAAACAATGATTTTGATCATGGAGGTGACCACTGTCCAGATAGCCCAAAAAAGTTGGAAGATGAAGATTTTGAGGCATTACTTTGTAAAGATCCATGCCCGACACAAAAAGAACTTGGAGAATCATTGTAAGTTGATCGAACAACAGTTGCTGAACATTTGAAACCTTTTGGCTTGGTTCATAAACAAGGAAATTGGAAACCGTATTAATTGAAGGAAATGGTTGTCAAATGATGTTTATTTACCAGTGAACAACTGCATGAACAACAAAAAAGAAAACGTTTTCTGCATCATAACGTAACTGGTGATGTAAAGTGGATACACTACGACAATCCACAATGAAAACAAAAATTGGGACTGTCCGGGCATGCCTCAACATCGACAGCGAAGCTGAACATTCATGGTTCGAAGCTTATGCTTTGCATTTGGTGAGATCAGCTAGGTGTCGTTTATTATGAGCTGATCAGCCCAAATAAACCATCACATAGCCTAAAATTGATGCGTTTGGGGGAGTGGAATTTTTGTAAATTTTTATAAACCAGACTCGTTCCTCCCAAAAGGAGAGCTTTTAGTTCTATAAAGAAAGTAAATAAAGCTGTTATTATTATAATTTATTTGTCAACAAGTTTATAGAAGGTTTTTCGTTTACCTAGAGAGGAAGAGAATCAACTCCAACCACCTCAGGTATGTTCTATTTTAATTTCTATTAGATGTTGAGAAAGCTCCTCACAATTCTGGCAGTATTCAACAGCACAGCTTTCTGGGCTTCATTTATTACATGAGTTGGAAGGCCCAGCCTGCCAGTAGCTTCCACAGTATTCACTGGTATCAGGACATTGCTGGAGACCACAATACCCCTAACAGTTACTTTATTAAGTTTATAAAAACTTCTCAACTTAGCTGCTAGACCTTCATACTTCCGAATACTTTATCCACAGACTGAGTTAATGTTTCCGTCATTCGGAAAACAGTGATATCTATAATCACAGCAACCTTAATATTACCTTCAATTAATACAATATCTTTGTGAGTCACAAGATGATCAGTTATAAATGATTGATTTCAATACAATTTAATCCCATCTTCCTGGCAAAGTCCTTTAGGGCTGTATTTATTTTAGGACACCGAATCGTTTAATATTTTTCTTTTCAGACCAATCGCATGTTATTATTATATTATTAGAAGAGCAGTAATTAAGCTTTTCAATGGGTGTATTATCATTATATTTGGAGAAAACCCTCAATAGACAATGGGCTTAAATGGGATACATTGCACTTATGCGGGGGAAAAAAAGACTGTTATGTAAAACTGGAAATGTATCTTCTCAATCATTAATGATTTTTCTAATTTTATAATATAATAAATTAAAAATTGAAAATCAACACTATATAATTCAGTAAGTGCTAAGTAGAATAAATCCCAGAGGCTGAAGATAATTATACTACCATTACAAAATAAATGATAATTACTACTTAATAATTACAAAATAATATGTTCAATATCACAAGGAATTATCACCTGATTTTCCAAATGATAAATGCATCCAAGATTAAAAGATTGGATTTCCAAAGATAATTCTTGAAAAACTTGGCGTACGTTCTCATCCTTTAAAGCTGATGTCTCCATAAATAAAAAGTCATGAGATTTTGCAAAGTTTTTGGCCAGTTCTGTTGGAACCTCTCGATTCATTTCCAAGTCACTAAGGAAAATATATTTTTATTTTTTAACTTAGAAAATATATACATACATATGTATTTGTTTACATTGTTATAATATATGCAGTTTGTTAGTAAATTCTACTGGTTGCAGAGTTCTTATACAGAAAGAAATGTTTTAAAAATAATGCTTTTCCTAATTAAATTTGATCAGCTTTGATTTGATATGATATAAGCTTTTGAGTCTAATGGGTATTCTTAAATTATTTTTCATCTAAAAGAACATTTAGCTTTCTTTTATGGCCCATAACATTTCATTATAATTGTTAATATCTGGTCAAGGGAGGGGAGAGGTCTTACGTTCAATTACCTATTTATTACTTAATGCATACTGGATGAATATACTTTCAAGAGCTAAAAAAGGAAAATAAAATTTGGGCCAGTACTTATGTACAGATCCGAAAATTTTGCAGTATATGAATAGAATATTGCCTAAAGCAGGGATTCCCAACCTTTTTTCAACAGCGGGCACGTTTATTGGTTATGTTTTGAGTGACCGTGTTTTTATTCATTGTAAATTGCAGGTAGGTTATTGTTTATATATTTAAAAAGAAAATGTAAATGGTATCAATAAATAAATAAATAAATAAATATATATATATATATATATATATATATATATATATATATATAAAATAATATTATTATTTTTGAATTTTATATCTATAAACTCTTGTTAGATTTATCAATAGTCATATACTCATATTTAAGAAACTAATTATAAAACTATTGAATTGAAAACTTTTCTTATCTGCAGCATGACATGTAAAACAATTATGATTATTTAAAAAAAAACACAATATAAATTACTACTTTTAAAGTGATCATTCATACTTACAATTAATTATTAGATATTTGTTAATAAAATAAATATTCATCATTTAATAGAAAACTTTTCGATATGCAGCAGCCAACAGTAAAACTGTAGCCAAAGTGATGGGCGATAAAGGTAATGTTAATGTTTTTTTTTTCACTGGTAATATGGATGAAACAAAACATCCACTGGAAAAATTAAAAATATGAGTTTACACCTCATTGATGTTTAAGGAAAAAATCGAACCATGAGGTGAGGAGCTGGTTGAACTTCAAAAGAAACAAACACAACCACAAATAAGACATTTTTTTTATTACAACTAATGTAAATTTACTGAAAATTATATGAAATCTAAGTAATGGTAGTGAGTGTCATGCCAGTAACATGGAACCGATCAAAGAAAACAGTTTTAATTAACTTTTTTAAAACAGGATAAAATTTTATAACCTGATAAAAAAATTAAATTAACCTAACCTTCCATTTCATACGAATATGATACAACATAGTCTACCACATTTCACAGTTATTATTTATATTAATGTTAATTATTAAATGGAATCAGTGTTGGGCGTTATTCGAAATTTTATCTAGATAACAAATAATAGATACATTTTTATTCGTTATTCTTATTCGATGACCTTTGGACAGATAATTAGTTTTTTTTTACAGATGACCTGCATTATCTATTATTAATTATTTAAGATAAAAATATGATTTGAATAATTTTAAGGATTTTTTTTATATAAGGGTCAACTGAAGATGTTCCTCACTCTTCCCGACCCTTTTCTCTGTTTATATTGGCGACCTTCCTGATGCCATACAACAATCCTGTTACCTCCTATGTATATGCCGATGATTTCTAAACTTACCAATCATTCCAACCTTCTGAGATGCCTGAGGCTGCCCGAAAGCTACAAGAGGATATTGACTGCATCAACAGATGGACAGAAATAAACGAGTTAAAGCTGAATGCAGATAAAACTAAGGCTATTCTCATCGGTTCCAGAAATCTCATTAGTTCCCTTCCTTACTTTCCTCTATCTTACCTCAATAACCGTCCCATCAATGTTTTCCCAACAGTCAAAAACCTAGGAGTAACCTTTGACCAGAACCTCTCTTGGAATAACCATATCTCCCAGAATTACCCAAAAATCCATAACTGTCCTTAAGCAAGTCCTAAGATTGTATTCCTCTAAAAACCAGACAGCTCCTTGTAACCTCCCTTATATTTCTCCACTTCGACTACGAATGTTTGTTGTATGGAGAGCTATCCTCTCCTTCGTCGCCTAGGCTATAAGGGATTTAAAAGACTTCCCGGCACAAGGACGCAAACTCATGACTATTTTAAATCTATTATATCATAGGTTAGGTTGCCGGACAACGGCGGTGCTGTGCACACACGTTAGCCCATTCGGCCAGCCTGCCCACACTACATCCTAGAACTCCATACACTACGTTTCTCTATCCAATCTCTTAATACCAGGTCTCAACCTATAGATTTATATATTCCCTCCCAAAAAACTTCCTCCTTCAGCAAATCCTTCGTCATTCGTGCTGCTTCCTTATAGAACTCACTTCCTACCTCCATACGTCAATCCTCGTCCACAAATTCCTTCAAACAACTCCTGTTCCACCACCTACTCCACATTCAACCTTCCACTAACATGTAAAATTATTTGCATCTGTATACTGTTTAATTTAAATCTACTGCACAGTTGTAATAACAATAAGCAGTTAATTAGTTTGTATTTTTTATTATTTTAAGGCAGTCTAAGACCCATAAATTTGTAACTCTGTTATTATGCTTAGGGGACTGTAGTCCCAGAATAAAATTATTTTTTCATTAATTTCATTCATTCATTCATTTGGGGGTGGTGTGATCTCATCCTCGTCGTGCCCCTGGATAACCAAGCAAACGATCACATAGTCACCAGACTCCCAGCGCGGCCAGCACAAAGCCTTGCCAACGCAAACGGCCTTTCTCAAGGCCCTAACAACTTTATCTTCAAGACTCTTTTTTGGAATACAGGTGGTCTCACCAGTGAAAAGTACACAGAATTGAAGCATTTTATATCCTCAAATAAAATTGATCTATTTTGCATTGTTGAGGCAGGCACTGCTACTGATTGTCTTGAATACTTCAGGTATCCAGATTTCCAAATTTACTCACTGCCAAGAGCTAGGCAGATAGCATCAGGAATACTTGTTGGTGTAAGGTCTTCCTTCACGGTCAAGTTTCAAGTTAAAAAGGAAATGGATGCATATGATAAATTGGAAGGAGTGGAAATCAATCTGTGATCAAGCAATTTCCACCACCAAATATTTATCATCTATAACCCCCCTAATAAGCAACCGAATTTGGGTTGGCTGGAGGACTCTTTGACGGACAAATCCCTTGTGTATGGAGACTTCAACGCGCACTCCAGGCTCTGGGGTTACACAAACTCAAATTGAGCGGGGAAAACTCTGGAGGAATTTATCGATACAAATATGATTGAATTTGTGGAAAACGAAAATTCAAAGCCCACTTTTATGGACTACAAAGGTAATAGTTCCCACCCTGACCTATTATTGGTGCACCCACGAATAGCTCCGCTGATCTCCCACACAGTTGCCTCTCCATCTGGAGCATTTGGTCACAGGATAATGCTTGCTTATCTTAATGGCAACTTAAAGTCTTATAATGATTCAGTGCCTCGAATGCTCCGATGGAATTTGAAAAAAGCCAATTGGAATAAATTCTCTCAGCTCACTCACACAGCCATTACGGATGAAACCATTACGGAAAATGTAGATATAAGCTGCGCCCGACTTCAAGCAGCAATTCTCGAGTGTGCAAAGCAGTCCATTCCTCGGGGATTTATGAAAAGATACTCCCCATTCTGGAATGACAAACTACAAAAAGTAAAAGATAGTAGAGATGCAGCAAGAAAAGATGTAGAAATGTCAAAGAAACCGGAAGATATAGTAAGGCTAAAACAACTTACAGCAACCCTTAAGTACAATATAATTCAAGCCAAAAGAAAAGCTTTCAGAGAATATTTGGCTAGACTGGACTTTCGAAGAGATGGAGTAAAAGCAAATAGATTCATATCAAAGCTAAATGGCGGCAAAGACCCAAGGAATAACCCTCTGAAGTTCAATAACAAAGAGATATATACCGGACTTGCCATAGCAAGAAACTTGTAAATTCTTTGCAAAGGCCTCTAATTATAAGCCAGCAGTAGGAAATAAGAAAATTAATACCAAACCACAAATCCTATGTCTGAATTCCTCTGAAGCCCAACTCTTTGAAGACGACTTCAGTAAGGAAGAGCTTGAACTCGCACTGGCACAAATAAAGAAGGGAAAAAGCGGTGGCCCTGATGACATACTACCAGAGTTTCTTACTCACCTGGATGCAAAAGCCAAGCTCATTGTGATAGATTTTCTCAATGCTGTTTGGAGGTCGAAATATCCTAGTGCTTGGAGGAAGGCTGAGGTTGTCCCAATTCACAAGAAAGGTAAATGTCCTTCTTGCCCATCTAACTACCGACCTATATCGCTCACAAGTGTTTTTTCCAAGCTCTACGAGAGAATGGTTCTAGCCCGGTTGCAGATATATCTTGATAGAGAAAACAAGATGTCATCAAAGCAAGCAGGTTTCTGGAAGCACCAATGTACAACTGAGCAGGTGGCTCGTTTTAGTGAGGATGTAAAAGATGGATTCCAATGCAAACAACATACTCTTGCAGTATATGTTGATTTTAAAGCTGCTTTTGACAGAGTCTGCCGGAAAGTACTTCTGAATAAACTCCTCAAAATGAACATCAGTGGAAAAATGTACCGAGCCATACGTTCCTTCTTGGCCCAGAGGTTTCTCAGAGTAAGATACAATGGCTGGTGTTCAGGCTTCAGAACTTTTAGTCAGGGAGTTCCACAAGGATCTGCTTTAAGCCCCACACTCTTTAATATAATGATTGATGACTTAATGGCTGCACTCGAGGGAATACCTGGAATATCTGCTCTACTGTTCGCTGATGATCTACTAATATATGCGTCTAGTAGCAACATAACAGCACTCGAAGCAGCAATTAATGAGGCAATGGCAAGACTTTTTACCTGGGCCAAGTGTAATGAAATGGAAGTAAATACGCAGAAAACTGAATTCCAACTGTTCACCATATCAACCAAAGAGTACAAGCTGGAAATCATCTACAATAATTTTCCCTTACCAAGAACCTATGCAGGCAAATATCTGGGAGTTAGGTTAGATACAAAAATGATCTGGAACAGACAAATTGAAGAGATGGTGGAAAAGGGAGAAAACAGGCTAAAACTTCTGAAACGCCTTGGAGGAAAGACATGGGGGTCACCCAGGATGTGATGGTTCTTGCATATAAAACCTATGTACGCCCAGTACTGGAATACGGTTCTGAAGTCATCTGTACTGCGGCAGATGTATCCCTGAAAAGATTAGATGACCAGCAGAACAAAGCTCTGCGTTTGATTTTGGGTGCACCGCGCTCAACCTCTGTTGTAGCTATGAAACTGCAGACCACAGTAGAACCTCTATCGAAACGGCGTGAGCAAGCTGTAATGTGCCTTCACGCGAATGAAAAGAATAGACCAAGAGTTTTGGAAAAAATACAAAATCCCCTCTAAACGGCTCAAGACACAAAAATCCTTCATGCTGAAGGTGATGGCACTACTTGAAGAAAGAGGGCTTGACTGCGAAGAAAGGGAACCATTTATACATCCACAGTTACCAATTCAAAATCACGCATGCAATGCAGAACTACAACTCCTTCATAAAGTGGATAAGAAAAAAACACCTGAATACGAGCTAAAAGCATTAGCATTAGAAACCATAGCTCAAAATTACCCTCCTCAAGATTGGCTCCATATCTATACTGACGGATCAGCTGAATCAGCCATTAAAAATGCTGGAGCAGGAGTTTACTCAAAGGAATTCCAAATCAGCGCTGCGGTGGGTAAACAAATTTCGACGGTGAGATAGCGGCGATCCTCATAGCCTTAAGAGCATTGTCTAGAAGGCAGAATCAGAGCGCTGTTCTCTTCATCGACTCCCAAGCAGCCATCCTCGCTGTTATAAGCACGAATGAACGTTTATCAAGTGCTATATTGGAATGTAAATCCCTCCTCTCTAACCTGACACACCGAGGCACTAATGTGGTCCTACAGTGGATCCCCAGCCATTGTGGGATTCCGGGTAACGTTGAGGCTGATATTCTCGCCAAGCGAGGAACAGATTTGCCTCAGCCGATGCATCAAAAACCCTACGACTCAATACGGCGAATGATAAAGATGGTAGTGAAGGAAGAAATAAGAAAAGCACATTTCGGCAAAGTGGAAGGGAAGCGTTACGAGTGGTTGAAGGATAATCCGATTCCAGCTGAGCTGCCGAGAAGAGATGCAGTTGCCTACTTCCGCCTGGCCACTGGGCACGACTATCTGCAGAGTCATCTCTACAAGATAGGCGTGGCTGAGGATCCTACCTGTAAATTGTGTCATCAAGGAACAATGGATGCAGACCATCTAGACGCATGTCCTGAATTGAGGGACATAAGAGAAAAAATATTTTCAAATATACATATCAGAAAGTCTAAATTATACTGGGCAGCAAGATGTCGGATGGTCAAATGACCAACGACTGGCATAAGAAAAAAAAAAAAAAATTTCATTCATTCACTATTACATTGCGGGGGTGCTTCTTATGATAATACTGTCGGATTTAAGATTGCACAATTGCGCATAGAGCTTTTGATACTTTTCGGATTTCTTCGATATATGGGTCCTCTAATATGTTTTCGGAGGCGCTCTTTATAAAAATAATGTTGGATTCAAGATTGCGTTATTACGCATTGAGCTTTTGATACTTTTCAAATTTCTTCGATATATGGGTCCACTAATGTTTTCAGGGGCACTCTATATGAAAATACTGACTTATTTAAGATTGTGAAATTCAAAAAATTGTCTACAATATTATTATACTATTCTTCAAAGTTCCTCCAAGTTTAAGTAAAATCGAACGAGCCATTTTCAAACTATAGGTGTTTCAAAGATAATATGTTTGCTGATCTGAAAGCAGTATTTTTGCAGAAATGCAGGCAAAAAAAAAAAAATAATATGCATTTTTTTTTTAAATTATATAAAATAATCTTTTTCTCGGTTCCAATGATCCATTGGAATGAACGTCAGGATATGTGTCGAACATTTTTCCCTTTTCCAGTCATACATAATGACAAAAGGCATATCTATAAGAATAATAGATAAATTATAGTGACATTAACTTAATGATATAATGACAAGAAGATAATTTAAATCATCTTTTAGCAAAAAAAAAAAAAAAAAAAAAACCTATAGTTCTGAAGATAGGGAAAAGTGACCTGAAATTAAACTTTTTATAAACTTATAATAAATTCCCACAATTTAAAAAATATAACAATAAACAAATTGTATATACATGACAATATAAAGGTCCCTTTTACATTAGGTGATCAAATAGCATGACCAATTTCAGAGACTGGGAGCAACCAAGTTGTCTTGCCTAATAACTTTTGATAACCAACTGGACAATCAAGTTGAAGTAGGTGAAAATGCAAAATATGATAATTACATATATTTTTTGAAAAGTGTTGTTTAAGAAACATATTTTCAGAACGGATCTAATATATCATAACTATTTTTCTAATCATATATTTGCTAATTGTCACTCATATAGTTAATACTTATCATAAATAAAAAATATGTACAAAAAGGTCTAAAGACAGAAAGCAATTCTTTAAATTAAATTTCAGTAAATAAATGAAGACTAGATTGAGTTGGAAGCCTCACGGGCACCAATTCTAAACATAAATAAAACTAAAAATTTTACCAAAACAAAACACATATATCATTTAAAATGAAAATACTAATAACAATTACAATTTATGGTCATACCTTTTATTTCCAACTAGAATAAAAACAGCAGAAGGATTGACTTGAATTGAAACATCACTGTACCATTTTAACATATTTTCATATGATTCTAGTTTCGTGATGTCGTAAACGAGTACAACTCCCACAGCGTTTTTATAATGAATTGACCAAATAGATTTAAACAGTTCTGCTCCTGACATATCAAATACATTTATCCTAGTTCTTATTCGTGATACATTCATCGTTTTGGAAGATAAGACCATGCCTATATTTAAAAGAATATGTTAAAACATGATTTCAAAAAATTTCATAACAAAAAATTAAAATGTATAAAGAGTATCTAGAAAAAGAAAATCATCTTTATTCTGAGACAATAATATTTAAGAGACAACCTTTAAGAATAACAATATTTTTCATACAAATTAACAATAAATCTGGCCAAAAGACCTATTACAATAACTAAAATATAAGTAATAAAAAAATAATATACATATATCTGAGGAGATATTAACGAAAGCAGATGGACAATATGGTTACAATACTGCAATATTGGTGCTAAAACAATAACATAAAAATAACTAAATGAAATTGGGAAGAAACGTTAAATAAATTTTATAGGCAAACCATTGCAGTGAAAAATATAAAAATAAAAAATTTAACTAAAGTAAATAAATGATTTTCATCTGTTCTTTAAGATGTTTAAGTGAATACTCTAAAGGTATTGTGAAATATTAGAAAAGTATTGTGATCTACCAAGGAAGCAATAGATTAAGTGGAGAGAAAAACACACACACATATCTCTGTTGTATTTTTTAATTAATAATATGACCTCGGAACATCCCTATAATACTATTGGGATACTTCCAAAAGAAACAAGAGGTTGTTAAATAATAATAAAAAATTATAAGAGTATTAACATATTAAATTGAAATTTATAATTATTTTATTTCAAGGTATGGGTAACTGACAATCAGATCAAAACACTCAGACAAACTAATATTAACTGCACTAAAGACTGTTTCATTTTAAAACTGTAATTTAACACTGTTAACAATTTAGCACTGTTTGATTTTAGATTGGCAAGCTAACCTTTTTTCTATATACACTGTTTCTTCCTTTGTTTTACTGAATTCATTTGTCTTATAACATTTTCCTATATTCTGCCAAACACATCTTTCAAAATGGTAACACTTTCATCAACTCAACTCAAGCTTCCTGGGAGATCCTCTCTCTTGTAATTCCAAATAACTAGTCTCTGCCAAACAACAACTTTCAAGGGGGTAATATTATTATTGGGTTTTACCCACTGGAGCCAAGCCCTTCTCCCATCCACTCTTTACTCCATCAAACACCAACTGCTTGCCAAAACAAAATCCTTTGTCCGTCCCCTCCCCTCTTTGGGATTTTCCTTTCTGGGAAAACTACAGATATTTTTTTCCCCTAAACTAGTGAAACTAGAATAGCTTGATTTTTAACTGTTATATTAATTCATTAAATAATTTTTAATAACTTTCAATTAAGGTATATACTATAATATATACATATATGATTTTTTTTTTCTGTTGGCATTAAAAACCATGTTGATCTTTTACAGCCTGTCTTGGGCTATTTCTTTCCATTTATCTGCATGCATCTCTGTTTCATCTTTGTTGATTTTATCTATCCATCTGTTTTTGGCCTTCCATATGTTCTTTTGCCTTCTATTGAGGCATTCATTGCTACGTACAGGCTTCCAGATGGATTTCTTCGAGCTACATGCCCTGCCCATCTTAACCTCTGTGCCTTCATATCATTGGATATTGATTGACCAGTTCCTGTAAGCAGTTCTTTATTGGTCTTTCTTCTCCATGTGTTAGTACTCTGATCCTAGATCGCTCCGGATGTATATATACACAGACACACAGAAAGGAATGTGTCAAAGGTAAGTAAAAAATTAAATACATCTCAAAGAAATATAATCTTAGGAATAGGAAAATTAGAAGTTAAGAAAAACAAAAAAAAAAATTATATCTACTTACAATGCTTTGTGAAAGGTGATAAAAAATCTTTTTCATATTCAAAATTGAAGAAAAAATTATATAAAGAAATTTAAAACCTTGTTACACAATAAATACTTAGCCAGTGTCTGATTAAATTGTAAATAGGAATTGGAATAAGAGGGTTTTAAATGTGGATAAGGATGGTGCATGGCAGATTTTATGGGGGATAGAATTCTAAAATTCCAGAATGGATAACATAGGAATGTTTAAATGAGGCAGATCTGTGGAAAAGGAGTGGATAGATGACTTGAATTGTATGCGTCGGATGGGCGATGATTATTGGTTATTTGGTGAAGGAATGTGCCAAGGAAATATTGTCTTCGGAAGGAGGTGAAGAGGCACCTTAACTCAACATAGTTGGAGAAAACAACGGGGGTCCCAGTGACAAATTTTACAAAGCCATTTATAATTCTTTGCTGTCGATCTCCGAATTTTGCTGAGAGGCACCATACACACGCAGCCGTAATTAAGGTGAGCGAAGATACTAGGAGTCTACGTGTTGGAATGAATAGGAGATGTCGGAAGCAATGGAGTAGTTTCAAGGTACCAATTGACCATCGAGAGATGTGAGAAATATGGTGATTCCAGCAGAGAGTTTGGTCTATGAAAATCCCTAAGTTTTTTATTGAGGAGTTGAAGGTGATGGGATGGTCATTTAGATATAGTATAAGAATCAATAGGAAGGTATTGGATCTGAGAAGGGGTTTAGAACCATTAAAAATGGCTTGAGTTTTGGCAGGGTTAATTTTAATCCATTAAGGTTTACTCAGGCAATGATCCGATTTAAGTCTTCTTGAATTTTGGCAAATGCAACATGCAACTTTGAGGGAGAGGAGGAAAGGTAAATTTGGAAATCATCGGCATAGAGGTGATGATAACAGTGAAGGATTTATTTATGAAGGTGGTTAATGTAGGAACTAAAAAGGAGAGGAGATATGCTAGAGCTCTGTGCCACTCCTAGGACAGAATAAGGTAGAAAGACAAAGGTTGGTTAGAAATAGTGACTACTTGGGTACACTGATACAGGAAAAAAGGATGGAACAGTTAATGGTATCCAAGATTATGAAAAAGTTTAGGAGTACCAGGACAGTTAGTTTTTGGTCATCTATTGCAAACTGAACATCATTAATCAATTATATTAGGGTTGATTGTGTGGAGTAATCTGGTCAAAAACAAGACTGGAAAGGGTCAAGTTGATTGGATTGTTGGAGGAAATCAGAAACTTGGGATTTCACTATCCTTTCCAGGGGTTTTGAAAGGTTAGAGAGGATTGGAATGAAATCTCCAGAGGAAGAAGGATTACAGTTTTTGTTTAAAGGACAGACAGCGCCTTTTTTCCAAGGGGGTAGGAAATAAATAATACGGGAGGGAGAAATCATAGATGAAAAGTGTGGGAAGGATTTCAAGCAGACATAATTTGATTAATTAGGCAGGAATGACATCTGAAACAATAGAATTAGAATGCAAATCATCACCGTGGATATGATGTCTGTGGGTGACCTGTCGAAAAAATAAAAATTGTCTTCGCTAAATGAAGTTCCAAGAGGAAAGAAGGAGGATGTTAATGGTGAAGTGATACAGGAAGAAGATATAAAATATTAATTTAGATGATCAGGTGAAACTGGGAAGACTGCTAAGAGAGGTGATTTGGAAGGTTCGCAGAGAGAGTGTATACAAAGGAGTAGCAATTTGGATTTGGAATCAGGAGCTAAAAAGAGTGCTTCATGGAAATAGGTGGATTTGGTCAGATTATGGAGGACCCTAAATGCTTTGAAGTCATCAGCAAGTCAGGTACATCAAAAGTGTCTATGGGCAGCGTCACTTCTTTTCTGAAGATCCTTGATTTGCTGACACATCCAAGGAGCCAGGCCACAATGAAAGGTAGAGGTTTTGAGGGGGGCATGGGCATCAAGGATATTAAGAAGATTGGAGGTAAGAATGTCAACCCTGGAAACAAGAGAGGAACAGGAATATATTCCATTCCAATCCAGGGATTCCAGGTTAGGTAGGATCTTTTCCCAAGTAAGGGCATCAATGGGTAGGGAAACAGGAGGGCTGTAGAGGGAGATGGGTGCGGGAATCTCCCCCACTCCTTGCAAAATGATCAAGAAATAGTGCACTACCCGCGGCTTGTAACTTCCTAGTCCTTCCTTTCCCTATCAACGCCTACTGTCATCTCCTAGTGGTGCCCCATGGGGAGTCCGATGGGACTCGTGAACGACAGAGACAGGGATCCACACGTCTTTCCTCTAATCTAGAGGGCAGCTGTGTCCATCCTTCTACGACAACCATGCTAGGTGGAGGGAGCTCAAGCCGTGGCTGAAAGGCAGGGGGTGTCTTAAATAAATATACACAATCAATTCACTCCACTTGGGACACCCCATTGTAATTAATTACCTTCTTCAGGGAGAGGTGTAGTATCTGTAGTGACCTTTTTCACCCCCATACTTGTGGGAACAATATGCAAGCTCTACAAAATTCAAAATGGACGGACAACACAGGTGACGACATGGCTATGGACAAGGAACTTCTAAGGAAAATGGAATTGTTAGAGAAGAAATTGGTTGGAAGATACCCAGAGGAGCCATCGATGGACCTTCTTCAGGAAAATTCGAGAAGCTCGACTGAGACTATCTCAGTCCAATTTTCCATGCTCTCTGTAATAACAAAGGAGGCTAAGGATCTGGCTGGTGTCCCACAAAAACCCAAGTTCTCTGGTACAATGAGAAGGAAATATAAGAGGATGAAGAAGCTCGAGGCAAAGTATAGGACTGAGCTACCAGTTACAGCAGCTCCGGCTGCAAAGGCACCAGTTAGTGAAGACCCTGGGCTAGCCACGAAACGCACCAGGTCCTTGCGGGGAACTCGAGGCCTGCGGTGAAGAGGGCCAGAAGCGGAGAGGCTGGTGTAATTTCCTATGCTCTAGTGGTTGGTGGCAATCATCTCTTGTGTATATCCATCTGTTCAACATACCAAGGAGCAGAGTGAGGAAGTAAAAGCCTAGGTGATCAAATCTGTTGATCAGCTGGAAATGGGTGGTATCATCAATGAGTTTAGTGGCTTCAGCCACTATCTGGAGGGGGTTGAATCATCGTTTGTGATGATCAAGCTACCAAAAATTGGTTTTATAGTGTAGTGGAGGGCTTCACTATCAGTGGGAGTTTCAAACAACGTACTGGTAGTGTAGACAAATTAAAAAATCTGTCAGGGTAGGGGCATACTTCTCTGGTGAGCAAATTCCAGAGGAGCTACTTATTAGGGGACTTCAGATTCAAAATGGCTGGATCCCAGAATCGACAGTTAGCAGATGTTGGGAACTAAGGTGGAAACGAATGGTTTCTATGCAATGCTTCGAATCCCTGAAACAAATATCTAACACCTTGAGAGCAGAAACATGATGGTGATGTATGGTGTGGCCAAAGTCGCGCTCAAGGTGCTTGAGAAGAACAGCCGCCCAAACCAAGTGCACAGACCGCAAATGTGGGTACTGCTTCTTTAAAAGTTCTCTAGGCAGAGGAGGTGATTATGAAATCATCCGAGAAATATGAAATCGGGATGGATGTACCCCCTTGGACCCTGGCGGAGGGGGTTCCTCCTGTAGCTGGCTCCTTTTAATGATGGTTAAGCTGTTTCAGATGAATCTTCATTACTCGTGGCAGCTTGTGGCATGCTACAGCAGTATGTTAGAGGTGAGGATATTGATATACTGATTCAAGAACCTGGCCTGTTCGAGAGCAGGATTGGGGTATTGGACTTGGCTAGGTATAGCATTTTTGTAGCGCTTGAGTGTCCGAAACCTTGTATTCTGTTCAAGAATAGAATGAAGCTGATGACTTTGTGGCATCATTGTTCCAGAGACCTGGCTACAGCTCAAATAGCCCTTCCTGAGGGTAAGGATGGGGAGAGGATCATCGTGACAACATTGCATTTAGAGGTGGAAGCACATGGTCTCAAAACTGCCTATAGGTTGGATAAACTGGGAACGAGATCAAAATTCCCAACATTTCAGTGTCATGGGATCCTTTTTGATAAGATTCATAGCAATGAGGTGCTTGCGATGAACTCTGACCTTCAAGTCGATAATTATAAAGATATATTATATAATTTGAAGATAAAGTAGGAATAACTGACATAGACCATGTAATGGAGTTAACTGATACCGACGTATCCTTGATGGAGTAGGAATCAGGGGCTGGCATCTGGAGAAAGGATAAATCTAATGAGGGAATATTCATATCTCTAGGTTGATATACGTCCGTCTTTCAAGCTGAGATTCTAGCTATCGACATCATTTTCATTAGACTCCATTTCTTTCATTAGCATTAAATCCACTGGAGGTAAAGTAACTGCACAAATTTTCAGGATCTCGACAAGATGAAAAGATCAACAGATGGGCAGAAATAAATTAATTAAAGCTGAATGCAGATAAAACCAAGGCTATTATCATCGGGTCCAGACATCTCATCAGCTCCCTACGTTACTTTCCTCTACTTTACAACCATCCCATCCATTTTTATCCCTACAGTCAAAAACCTAGGAGTAACCTTTGACCAGAACCTCTCCTCGAATAATCATATCTCCCAGATTACCCGAAAATCCATAACTGCCCTTAAACAACTCCTAAGATTCCATGATTGTATTCCTCTAAAAACCAGACAGCTCCTTGTATTCCCCCACTTCGACTACGGCTGCTTGGTGTATGGAGGGCTATCTGCCAGGCTGGAAATGACACTAAAAAGACTCATGAATTGTTTCATAAGATACATTTTCGGGATCCCCAGGAGTTCACATGTTTCACTATGGTACACCGAGTTGAAGTGGCTTTATCCTACTTCCCGACGACAATTCCTTCTTGGTGTTTTCCTTTTCCAAGTCTTCAGAACCAAAAACCCTCCCTACATCCTGGAACTCCTTACTCTGCGCTCCTCTATCCACTCTCTCAATACTAGGTCTCAATCTATAGACTTATATATTCCCTCCCATAAAACTTCCTCCTTCAGCAAATCCTTTGTCATTCGTGCTGCTTCCTTATGGAACTCACTTCCTACCTCCATGCATCAATCCTCATCCACAAATTCCATCAAACAACTCCTGTTCCAACACCTACTCCACATTCAAATTTCCCCTAACATGTAAAATTACTTGCATCTATACAATGTTTAATTTCAATCCATTGCACAATTGAAATAACATTTTACAATAAATTAGACAAAAGATCAATAATTTCTGGCGTATGACTTACCCATGGTGCAGATGTAATTGACGGAAAAAGATTTTTTGAAAAACCGCTTTACCAAACACGTTTTACCCACTCCTAAAACAAAATACAAATATTAATCTTAACTAAGATCATGATTTCAAATGATAATATCAATGTATAATAGAGGTGCGTTCTTACAATCAAAATTTGAGTACAAAGGGAGGAAGACATAATCTGTGATATTATATGTGATAGGATCAAAAGATTAATTGCCTAAGAATGCTGGGAATCATTAACACAAATAGAACAAACTAAAATTGATGTATTATGGATAAATACTTAGATAGATGACAGAAAATGACTTTATTCTGGGACAAAGTCCCTTGAGAATAACAGTGTTGTACAAAAATAAGAGATTACTTCTGAACTAAGGTTTGAAACAAAGAATAAAAAAAAAAAAAAGGAAAACATAAAGAAAACATTAAGTGAGCATGCTATAATTACACAAATAGAACTCTGAACAAAAAACTTAAAATTACAATGCTAAAGCAGTATAAATATATACTTCTAAGGAAAAAAAAAAAAAAGATTCGGGTTTGGTGCCATTTTCTCATAATTTATCATATGTCTATTTTAGGCCATAGGTCACCAAAAAAACACAGTTTTTTTATTTCCTGAATGCTTTATTCAACGTTTCGGCTTCAGGAGCCATTTTCAAGAACCTGCAAAATATGCACCGCGCCATAAAATTTTTAAAATTTATCATTGCAATATGATTCGTCCTAAATCATTCTTTTGTTTCAAAGAATGTCGTTTTCCGTTTCTCTATTTGCAGACGGTATCAAGAAATTATTGTTCTTCAATAGGGCATTCATACAGTCCTGTTTTATTTTATTAATTTATTTTACAGTATAAATTATATATAAATACAGTCCTGTATGAATGCCCTATTGAAGAATAATAATTTCTTGATACCGTCTGCAAATAGAGAAACGGAAAACGACATTCTTTGAAACAAAAAAATGAATTAGGACGAATCATATCGCAATGATAAATTTTAAAAATTTTATGGCGCGGTGCATGTTTTGCAGGTTCTTGAAAATGGCTCCTGAAGCCGAAACGTTGAATAAAGCATTCAGGAAATAAAAAAACTGTGTTTTTTTGGTGACCTATGGCCTAAAATAGACATATGATAAATTATATATACATATATATATATATATATATATATATATATATATATATATATATATATATATATATATAAAATTTTAATAAAAAACAATAGATTCACTGAGTGGCATCGAGAGTAGATAATTCTTTTAATGTCAATAGCAAAGAACAGCACTACCCTTTGATAATAAATTACATGAAATAAATGTTTGTACATTATTGTCAAAAGGTCAATAGGAAAAAACAGAACTGTTTTTGGTATAGGAATTGAATAAGGAGGGGGAATGCCGAATTTTGATAAGGAAGGAATTCCAGAAATTGACAGAGCGGCCAATATCAGTTTTAATATCAGTAACACATTTAAAATTCACAATTGTGTCAATTATTGTGTTACTCATTATTATCATATCACAAACTGCCTATAGAATGGATAAATTGGGAACGAGATCAAAATTCCTGACATCTCAGGGACAGGGGATCGTGGTTCGTGGTTGATAGTGACGAAGTGCTTGCGATGAACTCAGACCTTCAAGTCGATAAATACAGAAACAAGTTGATAGGCAGGACAAACTCTCACAGATCATGTAATGAAGTTAACTGTTATAGCGATGGATAAATTTAATGAAGGAATATTCTTATCTCTAGGTAGATATACATCTGCCTTTCAGGCCAAGGTTATAGCAGTCAACTTTTGCGCTCAATCCCTAGTAAAGAAGAGAGTTATGAATATATTTATTTCAATTTTATGGATAGTCAAGCTAAATAGTTATACAACCTGCTCCAAGTTGGTAGATGAGTGTAAAGGTAATTTGAACATTCCCTATAGCACCAACAAGATCATGGTTGAATGGGTGCCTGGACACTCAAGTATTCTAAGCTGATGGAGCCTGGCTAAAAAGAGCTCTGCACAAGTGCAGGTAGCACCAGAACCCATATGTGGGATTAGCCTTAGCTATACCAAAAGGCATATTAAGACAGCTGTTGGCAATAAAACTAAGCTATATTGGGAGCAAACTAGGAAACAAACTTATTCCAAGTTGTTCCTAGAACGACCCTGTTACAGAAAAAGCGCATCGGAGCATCATTAGGCGTGTGAAAGACTTATACTGTTCATTGTCGTGTCAATAAGCACCTTTTTAATTTGAACTTAACTGAGACCTCCACCCGCAGGCTGTGTGGCCTGGAGGATAAGATCGCTTATCAATTATATGTAGAAGTGATAATTTGGCCAAATTGCGGTATTATCACTTTGGAAGTGACCATATCATTGACCCCAAGCTTTGTGAGTTGACTGATCCTATTAGTTTTCACCAGTTAAATGTAGTAGTAAAGGCAACTCACCTGTTTCAACACAGTTTAAGAAGACAAACAATAGGTCTCAATGAGCCTGCGATGTTTTTTTTTTTTTCAGGGGAAAAAAATTTATATCCCAATTATATTATAGTTTGACCGTTCAGGCAAATATTTCTAATCTTCTTTTTTAGAAGATGTTGAAGAAGATAAGTCAGAATTATTAGAACCAATTTTCGAGATTAGTTTTTGACCTTGTAGAGTTATTACAATTTAGGTCATTAGCAGAGAAATTCTCACTAAAAAAAAATAAATTTTTAATTGTTGGTATGATTTTATATAGTATGCTCTACGTTTTTTTTTTTCTAAACAAAGCAATTAATTACTTATTTGATATTTTGAAACTCACTTCCCTTAACTTAAATGCAAACACAAAAGAATGCTGCATGACCCACCCAAAGTTTAATAATGTCACTAACTGTACTATTTTGATCGTTGATCATGAATGGGATTCTATGTAAAGTAGTACATTATGATACTTCAATTATATTATAAATTGAATCGTAATTTATGATAATTACATATATTGGTTGATAAAATGTATAGGGAAAATTTATTTCAAAATTAGAACAAGAAAGTGAGTAGATGATCAAAATCAAGATAATGAAAATCAAAAAGTGAGTCAAATTTTTTTTAAAAAATACATAAATTTTAAAGGACAGTGGATCATTTAATTTACCTTCATGTTTTATAAATTTAGATAATGTATCACTTTTTATTTTTTTTTAAATCAATAATTTTATTTAAATTAAAATTAATATACTTTATTGGTTCATTGCACTTTTAATACTTTTATTATTCCTTCCTCCTCTCAACTAAATGTAAAAAAAAAAAAAATCTAGTAGCAATTATTCTTGTGATTGTTATTTAATTTCAATAAATCTGAAAACATTTAAAGATAACAAATTCAGAGTTATAAAAAAATTGGGCTTTCATTTATAAAATCAAATCTAATTAAGACCTGGAGATTTCTAAATATAATGTAATTTTTACGATCAATTATTTCACTTACATATTTCAATGACTAATATATAGAATGTTTTAGCCAGAGGTTAAAAGATTTATGGATTCATAACTGAAAAACATGCTAAAATATTTTGAAATCTAAGGAAATGATATGAGCTAACAGAATAGTGAGTACCTACAGATGGGGGACGAGAGCATACCACTACTCCTAATGTGAGAAGGCAACTCTAGTCAATTCTATTCTCCGTAGTTGGGGTATGGCCAAAAATTAAAAATTATACAATATAATGCATTTTTGAACATCGATACTTTATATTAAATGAATATGATGAGCACAGTCACATTAAATGAAAAAGATTAAATTATTTCATTTTCAACCTGGCATTTGTACATAATCTAATTCTATAGCACTGATAAAATCTTTTTTTAATATAAGAATGTAGAATAATTTCTTATGTATATAACCACTATTTAATGCATATAGTTACATAATCAGTAAAGTATAGCAGATACCCTAATGATAAACAATAATGTCTGACTGGTTGATTTTGATAATGTTATTCATTAATTAATCTAATAATTATACTACTAGTTATGTAACACTTCCATATATTCTACAAATGTAAGTGAAATATTTAACACAGATATAAAACACTTGACATTATGAATAGCTACAGTAGTAGTGAGAACAAAGTTTCCTTTCAAAATTAAATTTGATAAAAAATGAAAAGTTTTAGAATTCAACAGCTAAAAGATCAAACACCATGAAATACATACTCAATGACCTTAATTTGAAAAAAAAAATCTAATTTTAATTATCCATTTATAAAGAACATTCGAAAATAGATGTTTTACTAAACTAAACTACAGGATGGGCAAGTTCCTAAACTCTGTGCTGAGCTTAGAAACTTGTCCTATGATATTTAAATAGCAAAATAGTACCTCCACAGAAATGTAATCAAATTTAGACTTTTCATTTTGGTAGTGCCAAATTTAATGTAGTATATGACAGCAAGTCATTCCTTAATACTCATCATATTCTTCAGCAGAGATGGGCTGCTGAATAATGATAACCAAGTATTTTACTCAAATTGAATCACTATTAGGAATTCAATCGCTACTTCAGTTAATAGTTTGACATCAGCCAAAGTAGTTATTGAATTCTTTAGTACTCAAAAAAAGGTTAGTATTAGAGTAAAATATGTGGTACTCAGTACTCAAAGTATCATTTGCCCATCTCTGTTCTTCAGTATAAAATATTGACTTGCCCATATAAAGTTATTTGTTGATTTCAATTACTTTGACAATTCAGTTATCTATGAGCTTGAATAATTGAAAATGAAATGTTATTTAGTGTAAAACTAACCACTTGTGGTATTTGAAAAAAAAAAAGTACAAAAGAATGAAAAACTTACGCAAGTCCCCTACGACGAAAATTTTATAATTCCAATCCATTATCTTTATTAAATTTAAATTAAAACCCAAGAAATAATGAAATAAGGTAAAAAAATTAAAAAAAAAAAAAAAGAAGAGAACTTTAACACCCCTACTGCACCATAACAAATGCCTAAATCACATGTTTGTTTTTGTTCATTATTGTTGTTTTTAATCGTCAGAGTAACCAAATTAAGTTTATTTTAACTGATTTATATCACAGAAAAATACATTAGTTCTATAATTGAAAATTTTTATTTTTATTATTAATAGGTTTAAAAAAAATTTGAATTTTATTTTGTCATTTTAATAAAATGCCTCTATTTAAAACGTTAATAAAATCTGGTTCTTCTCATTTGAACAAGTTAAAGTTATTGAAAATCAATCAAATTATAAATAATTAATATTTATATTTACTGTCCCTGACAGGCAAAGGTCAAAGTCTTCTTAATTTTTCACTCAGAAAAGCACGGTGGGGGGAGGGGGAGGACTTTATTGGCGACCTAGCAATAGAGCAGTCAATCCTTCTGACAATGGGATGAATTAAAAATTAAGTAGGCATTTATATTATTTTGTTAATTTCTTTGAATTATAGTTAAGATAATTACATTTTAGAGGGAGTTCCCAGAACGGGGTTTTAGTTGGGCAAGCTGCTACCAGTTGGGCGAGGTTTTAGTGGTTGTTCCCCTCCCCTACTCCTATCCAAATAGGTTAACAATCTCTCATTCTATGTTTAAATAGAGAAAGAATGATGAATGATGAAGTAGAAGAAAATTTCAAATCTCAAACCAGCTATCTATTAGGTCAATTCCTTAATAAAATTAAAAAAGGGGGAAACTGTGAAGTTTGTGAAGAGCAGCAAGACAAAAGGTACGCATTGTTTAAATGGAGAAAACATAAAAGAGAACATGAATCAGTAACGGAGGAAGAGGCAACATTTTTAGAAAACTTGGATAAAGAGAAGATCAAGAAAATAGAAATGTTTTTCAGAAGTACACATTGTCGAATTTAGTTCATGTGGTAATTTGAAGAAATCTGTATTATAAATTGTACACATATTTCTTTAAAATTATTTACTGACCAGAATAAGATTTAATAACAGATCTTGATGGTCATTTGTAAAAATGAATAAATAAATAAATATTACATTATTCATTAAAAACTGGTGTTACAACGATTTATAAAAGATATGATTTATTTTTTAAAATAATATTTATATTAATAAAGGCTTGACAAACCCGAAGGTTTGATGCTGATACCACCAATCACTATCAATATACTCCCATCTATTGGCCGCTATCAGCCTTAATGCAATCATCCCACCTACGCTTCAGTCTAGAAGAAGGTTGTTCTGGGTGTCAATTTGTTAAGATAGTTATAGGGTAAATGTTTTGGGAAAGGGGGCAGGTATAAACTGTATCTGTCTGTTCTTCAACGCCGAATAGATGAGACTAATACTTTTTACATAAATACACTTAACAGCCAACACTTTATGTTCTTCTTGAACTATAATCAAAATTAATATTAAGCTTTGCATACAATATCAGACTATGATAAAAATACGGGTTATTATTTACGTTTAGAATCTTAATAGGATTTTTAATTTGTTGATGTATTTTCCCTAAAAAAATTCTGACTACATATCTTTTTAGTCAACTCTTATTTCGGGTTCTCTGTTAATTGGCTTTAATGTTTGTCTCTAATTCAAGCACAGCATCGGTTCCCCGAGGCAACCGCCTCGGTCGCCCAGCCCATGCGACGTCCTGATTGTAAGTAGCAAGTATATCGGCTCTTAACGCCCCAATAAGCTATTATCCATTATTAGTATTTTACTAAATAATATAATACTAAAACTATTTATAAATAGCTCAACTTTAACTTTAAAAAACTTAAAATTTGGAATAAAGTTTTCTTATCAATATGCCTCACTAAATAAATTGAGACAGTTGGGATAAATGTATTATAATAAAAACTTTGGGAATTTATGAATACTGTAACATGGAGCTAGTCTACTATGGATAATTTTTGGATATTCTCACATTTACGGTCATCCTCTGTCATCTAGACGTCGGAGTAGCGAGATCGATGTCCAAATTGTTTTACACCAGTAAATCGAGATATAATAGTCATAAAAAAAAAATACAAAAAGTGTAGAGAAGAATAACAGTCGGTTGAGACAGATTTTGCTAGCTTAAGTACATCATAAAGGGAAAAAAATATTGACCTAAAAATGCAAGTCTTTGATTGTTGCACATAATATTCGACCCTCATATCGATTTAACCAAAAAAGTTACAAAAAGTATATGTGGTTAAAGTGCTCTCGATCAATCTCCTCTGGCTTTAGTACCAGTGATGCGGTTGAGAGAGTAGCGTAGGGTCCTCCTGGAGTTTTTTCCCTACATAGTTGGTAAGACAAGCCCGCCTCGGAGTTCCGCGCCTGATAGTAAAGAGTGTATATAGGCATGCATGTGTTTTTCTTTGCTTTAATTTTCTTTTTTTAAAGTTATTTTATTGATTATATATATATTTTTGTTATTATTTATTGTTATTTTGCTAATCTTTATTTTATATTTTTCTGTACATTTAGTGTGAATGTTATACTACCTCACTACAACTAATGTCCAATTGACAGATTGTTGTAATACTCAATAAATAAATTTTAAAAAGTTGCCATTTTTGGAGTTTTACGCCTTCTGCTCACGTCGGATCGAAAAAATCACACAAAATTCATATAATAAAAATTATATATAAAATCGTTTTAAAATTTAATCCTCAATAAGATTCCTTCATTAAAAATATTTCTTTTTCACTGAAACTTCCTGAGTTTAATACTCTGGAAGAGATGAAAAAATAAAATTCGCCAAAAAAATATATTCCATTTTTCATAACTAAGATTTAGGCAGCAAAATATTTCAAATGAAATATTTTAAAATACTAAATTAAGTACATTGTTTCTAACTGTAATTCTTTTGAAAATACAAAATACAATAAACTTTATTTCTAAAATACATAAAATGTATTTTAAATACATAAAATACATTATTGAATTGTGAAGGCACTTTTATGTTAGATAATGTGGCTGATCGTTGGTACAAGAACTCGTCCATGAATATTGAGCTTGAAATTTTTTAAGGTTTATGGTTCTAAATTTTTAATACATTTATCTTTGGCAATAATTAGTGTTTTAATTTGTTGGATGCTTCCAGAATGAAATTGTTAAATGATCGATTATTATTAAACGCTCATTGTTAAAAAATAGTATTTGAATTAATCTCTATGTAATCTGTTTATTTGTTTGTTGGTCAATTATTTCAAATTGCTGTTTAAAACAAATTGAAAAACTACACCCCAACTTGAGTGGAAAGGGCTTAGAAATAGGAGATAGATATAATTGGAGTCAGTGGCGGATCTAGGAATTTTCTCAGGGGGGGGGCGTACCTCTGTATCACGCGCTTCCCCCACCCCTACCCATCTCCACCCACTCCTTAGCTGAGTTTAGCCGCTCAAAAATCCTCTTTAAATAGCTTTAACAAAAGCAAACTATATTTTTTAAAATAAATTTTGTCTAGTTTACAGTGTAGCAATCGTTAATTTCATAAATTAAATGATTTTTTTGTTATCACTTCCTATTCAACAATAACCGTGACTTACATAAAAAATTACAAAACTTTAATTCCCTACTTTCCTGTTGAAAACCGAACCATTGTATATATAAACTTTCTGGTATTTATTGAGTTCTGCTATCACTATTTTAATTATTTTCGTATACTTACGAGACACCCTGTGTATGGGTTTAGACGTGTAAAAAACTAATTGCTAACACCGGTTACCAAGAGAAAACTTTTTTCAGCCAAAAAATCCAGATTTATCTGATCATTTTTTTCGTGTATTACTAGTATACAGTGAATCAATGCGAAAAAAGAATTCTTTGAGTAATTAAAGAACGCTAAACTGTGCGTCGAACGAGTACCTAAACTTAATAATTTGATTATGTGATATGGTCGATGAACACGGTAAATGAACGCTAATTTTTACCGACATATCAAAATCTGAGAAAGATTACTATAAATGGTCCTGCAGCTTGGAAATGAGTTCTATAAGAAAAAATAACTATAACAATAATTTACGATTCCGATTATAATCAGATTTCGATCAAATAATTAATACCTTCCTAAAAACGTTTTCAACGGTAGCTATTTTAAGAAAAGAACATTTTCTAGCGAGAAATATACAAATTATTATAGTGAACAGTTTTATGAATCGCATGGATTCTTCAAGGAGGCTATAATAGCTGGAGGCTGAATTGGAAATGAATAAAAACTGGGTCCGGGGGAAAACCCGTATTTCCATGTGTTCGAAAGAATAAATCAAGTTAATTTTTTTTTGTTTAAATAAATTTTCCTCCATCATGTATTCAACCTGCGAAAACTCAGTTCGGAGTCGAAGGGAACAAACTGCGATAGGCGCCTTCGCATCGCGGCCCAAAAACTAAATCACTATTCTTTAAATAGCTGCTTTTTTGAACTTTTTCGGAATTTTTTGACCACCATCCAGGTAGATTTTTTAAATAAATTACATTAGGAAATTCGTCTGAGGATGATTTTCCTATATTTCTCTTTTCATTAAACAGCTGCTTAAAATATTAGTTTTCGAAAGGAAGGTCGGAGGATATTAGGTCCAGTCAAGAAGAATGATGAATGGAGAATTAGACGCAACCAAGAACTTATACAATGAGACGGATGTGGTGAAATATATCAGGATAACAAGGCTGAGATGAGAAGACCAAGTTGTACGGATGGACGAGATCTCAATTCCTATTTTTTTATATGTATATATATATATATGCGCCTATATATAGACATTATTCATATTCCACTCACAAAAAAGGAGGAAATTTAAGTTTAATTTATTCTTTTTTAATTTAAGTTTAATGCCTGCATCTAAGATGTTTATTGTCATTACTTTTTTTTTTTTAAGATAATTTTAATTTTGTTTTATTAATTTATTTTTATTCTATTATT